CCCTCTGATGGGCAAGCCTGAGGATCCCAACACTACCATCTTCTGCTGCAGGAGCAGCAGTATCTAAAAGATAATCCAGGAAGCATCTAATCTGCATACCGTCTGTCAAGTGTAAAACATTTTCCGTGTTGAGTTATCAATTACATGTACTAGATTTAAGCAGCAGTTGTTTTTTTTTTGTCTTAAAATGTCCAGAGACCTTAAACAATGACTCCAGCAAACAGCTCACTATTCTCCAAGTTTAAATAGAAATTGTGAAACTCTCCTGGAGGATCAAGGCTTCCATTTTTATTATAATTTTTTGTAAAGCAAATAAAGATCATTTTCTAATATTACAATAGGATTTAGAAAGTATACGGTTACTCTACAGACTCACACTGAAGGGGCTTGATGCTAAGGTTTGATATACAGAAAGCTACATGAGTCAGACCAAAGAAGTTTGATTTAGTTTAAGATTTCATCTAATCTGAAATCGTCTTCCACACAAATCTGATATCAGTGACCAATACGTAAGTATGACCATGTAATCTCACGCTAAATGTCGTCAGACATTTCTGTACTTTAATGGCAGATTGCTGCTGTTCTTTTTAAGAGAGTCAAAGTTATTGCATTTCTAAATACAGAACCATGCTGTTCAACTGCAACATGCAAAATAAACCATGTCTACACATTAATCTTTAAATATTGATAATATGTTTTAACCTAAGGTTTATTCATTTAAAACAATGAAGAACCAAAAAGTAAAAAAAGATATCAAGCAATTTTTTTTTAATTAAACTCTGCATGTAAATATATTTAATAAAACATTTTTGGGCTTTAATTTATAGTTGTATGATGAAAAAAATACTTCCCATTGGTTTTAATGTACTTGTATGAAGATTTTGATAAATTCAGTGTAAAAATGAAGCAAACCATTCCCCTGGCCTGTTTCACAACAGTTTCTGCTCTGTTAAATGTCACTCAACACTAGAAACATGATAAGGATGTGAAAGGTATCTTAGAGTTTATCCTGATGAAGGAAGTACAAGAAAAGCAATGTTAACACGCAAGCAAAACAAGAAAGTTCAAGTGAGGTGTGTCAAAGAACAAAGAAACATGACAGAAGGAGCAGTTTTTCTGTTATACCAGGGCAAAATAAATATGGACTGTTTTAATCAAGTTCTGAAGACTACCTGAAAAAGAACAACTACACTTTAGTTTTTTGTATAACAATCAGTCTTTATTATTATTTCCTTTAGCATTTATAACATAGTATTGTCATGACAAGTACTATATGAATATTATATTATTAACAGATTAAGAGACATAAATTCTCCTGTATCTTGACTACTGGCACTTTGCTTTTTTTATAGTATGAACATTTTAAAGGGGCATGTTGTTTATTAATTTTCTTCTATCTTATATCATGTTGATTAATTTGTTTTATTTGGAGCGACACAATTTCTTTCAGGACCAATTAAGTTTTTTCTTGTTAGAATCGTTATTATCTATATTAGAATTAACATTTTATAGGGAGAAACTAGTCTGTAAAATAGAGTTGAACCCTCAACACAGCCTTTATTTTAATTGCTTCAGCTTCCTCCCACATGGTCAGTTTTTTCACAAGTTAATATTTGAATTACTATTCTAATTAGGCCAGGCTCTATCATTTTTTTTTTTACACAATTTGCTTAATAATAGCATTGCAAAGAACATAATCAGCAGATTACTGAGATTTTTTCCAGTGGCAGAACCAGGTAGTGGTAAAGAGAGGAATGTTAACAGTGGAGATTTGCAGTGCAGATGTTTCTTTCAGAAGCTTTTGATGTTAATCAAATCAGGCGTCTTCGAGACATATATATATATAAAAAAAACTGTTTTCTCACCCCTCGTGGGGTGGTATGTGTCATCCTCAAGCTCGGGTCCTCTACCAGAGGCCTGGGAGTTTGAGGGTTCTGCGCAGTATCTTTGCTGTTCCTAGGACTGCGCTCTTCTGGACAGAGACCTCTGATGTTTTACCTGGAATCTGTTGTAGCCACTCTCCCAGTTTGGGGGTCACAGCCCCCAGTGCTCCAATTACCACTGGCACCACTGCTGCTCTTACTTTCCACATCTTTTCTAGCTTCTCTTTCAGCCCTTGGTGTTTCACAAGCTTCTCGTGTTCTTTCTTCTTGATGTTGCTGTCGCTTGGGATTGCCACATCTATCACTACTGCCTTCTTCTGCTGTTTGTCGATCAACACGATGTCTGGTTGATTAGCCATCACCTGTTTGTCAGTCTGGATCTTGAAGTCCCATAGGATCTTAGCTCGGTCATTCTCAACTACCTTAGGAGGTGTCTTCCATTTTGACCTTGGGACTTCCAGCCCATACTCATGGCAGATGTTCCTGTACACTATGACAGCTACCTGGTTGTGGCTTTCCATGTATGCACTTCCTGCCTGCATTTTACACTCTGCTGTTATGTGCTGTATTGTTTCAGAGGCATCTTTGCACAGTCTGCATCGGGGGTCCTGCCTGGTGTGGTAGACCCTGGCCTCTATTGATCTTGTACTGAGTGCCTGTTCTTGTGCTGCTATGATTAGTGCCTCTGTGCTGTCCTTCAGTCCAGCCTGTTCCAGCCACTGGTAGGATTTTTTGATATCAGCTACTTCTTCTATTTGTCTGTGGTATATGCCGTGCAGCGGCTTGTCCCTCCGTGATGGTTCTCCTTCCTCTTTCTTTTCCTCACTTTCGGTTTTCTCCTGCCTGAGGTATTCACCAAGCCATTTGTCTTTGGGGGCCATCTTTCTGATGTACTCCTGGGTCTTAGTTGTTTCATCCTGGACAGTGGTCTTGACACTCACTAACCCTCGGCCTCCCTCGCTACGCTTGGTGTACAGTCTCAGAGTGCTGGATTTGGGGTGGAACCCCCCATGCATTGTAAGGAGCTTTCTCGTCTTGATGTCAGTAGCCTCTATCTCCTCCTTTGGCCAGTTTATTATACCAGCGGGGTATCTGGTGACTGGTAGGGCATATGTGTTGATGGCTTGGATCTTGTTTTTCCAATTCAGCTGACTTTTCAGGACCTGCCTTACTCTTTGTAGGTATTTAGCTGTGAAAGTCTTTCTTGCCATCTCCTCGTGGTTTCCGTTAGCCTGTGGCACCCCAAGATATTTGTAGCTGTCCTGAACATCTATACGAGCTGACCTACGCCACAGCTACAGTGATCCTAGAGATGCTTGGCTATAAGATAAACACCACAGGCCACAAAGCAGAGCCCCTGTGTTGCCTTGATCTCAACACGAAGAGAGGTTAGTCAGCTGTCAGACCTGCAGAAAGGTGTAGGGAAGAGGTTACCTAAGTACAACAAGCTGTTGATTCCCGAGGCTCTAGAAACTGCCAAACAAAGACTCGCTGCCCTGGCCACCCGCCTAAAGAGATACAAGGGAGAAGCAGAAGCCAGGAGAATAAACCAGGTGTTCTCCACCAACCCATCCAAAGTGTACTCACAGTGGCAGGGTAATTCAAGATCAGATCCACCCAGGGCTGAGACTGAACAGTACTGGAGAAACATATGGGAGAAGGAGGCATCCCACAACACCAATGCTCAGTGGCTAGAAGATCTTAGAACAGATCACAGCAATCTCCCAGAACAAGAACCAGTAACCGTTACAACGGCAGATGTCCAAGAAAGAGCGGCAGGTATGAAGAGCTGGACAGCACCAGGCCCTGACATGATCCACACCTACTGGCTGAAAAAACTAACCGCACTTCATGCACACCTCGCAGCACAAATGAACCAACTGCTGATGGATGGGACCCACCCAGAATGGCTAACCCAAGGATGGACAATCCTGATCATGAAGGATCCCCTGAAGGGAACAACCCCATCCAACTACCGGCCAATAACTTGCCTATGTACAACATGGAAGCTCCTGTCAGGCATCATAGCGGCAAAGATGAATAGGCACATGGCTCAATACATGAACCCTTCCCAGAAGGCAATAGGCAGTAACACCAGAGGAGCCAAGCACCAGCTACTAGTGGATAGAGCAGTCACCCGAGACTGTAAGACCAGGCAGACAAATCTGTGCACTGCCTGGATTGACTATAAGAAAGCCTATGACTCAATGCCACATACATGGATACTGGAATGCCTGGAAATGTACAAGATCAACAGGACTCTAATAGCCTTCATCAAGAACTCAATGAAGCTGTGGAAAACAAGTCTGGAAACCAATGCAAAGCCAATAGCACAAGTCACCATCAAGTGCGGCATATACCAGGGTGATGCACTATCCCCGCTGTATATATATATATATATATATATATATATATATATATATATATATATATATATATATATAAATAAAGGAGATTGCATATTAGTGACTGACACTTTTTGTCAGTGGCTGATAATCATTTTACTGACAGAAGAATGTCTGGTTTTATAACAAGTAAAAACAAGGTGATCTAATTTCTTCTAATTCCGTTGAATTAAATATATTAAGTTAAATATATTAAATTTTTATTATGTGTTTTAATGGTTTTATCTAAGGCGGAACAACATGTGAGTTCAATGGATACTTTAAAGGTGGAGTGTAAACACATGTCTTTTTTAGGGGACAGATAGGAAAGACTGTTTTTTACAAAAATGTCAAAGGTATATGCTGAGAGTAGACAGTTTTCCTGTAAACGTCTTCCAAGAGTTCAAAAGTCCTCAAAATGTTGTTTATACTTAACGTTTTCTCTTTACATTCTTTTTCATTTTCTTTAAGTTCTATTCCTAATATATTAACCCTCTTCTGATTATTAAGAAAATAAATCTTAGCTTCTGTGGCTGGGTACAAGATAAAAAACAGTAGCTGGCAGTCACGAGTCATTGCTATGATAATAAACTATGGAATAAAATGTTGCTCATGTACCCTTATAAGTTACACTGAGGAATGCTGTATTTCTGGAAACTGTTTCTGGTTTGTTCTGCTACCCTCAGAGGAGAAGGAGCAAGTAGCCTAATGTGCTCATTTAAATCCATGTCTACAGGGAGGTAAAATGCTTTAGAAGACACTGAATTTATTTTTTAAATTCAGCTTTGCTGGTAAGACTGAAAACTTTTATTCTGAAATATCTTAAAAAAAATTTTAAGTTACTGTTAGTGTTGTTGTTAGGCTCACTGCTTACTGCAAAGATTTTATGCTACAATTTTAGAGGTTGCTAAAGACTTATGAAACAACTTTAAACATAAAAACTGTATTTAAGACAGTAAACAGTATATTTTGCTTTGTCTTAGGACTTATTGGTAAGTTTGCATATTTAAAAGTACTCCATTAGTCTGTCTTTGTCTTTATTTGTTGCCCAAGTTTTAATTGTCTACTATTTCTGCCCCTTTCCGTAGTTCAGATTTAATTCATTTTAGTTGCACTTTTCTTTCTTTGTAAGCTCGCTGTCAGATTCTGAGGAAATAATATTTCTACTTTATCTCAAATGTATTAAAGTGTTTTTACATAATCTGTTGTTTTCTCTGGGAATAAGATGTGTAACAACAAAGCTGACAACTTATATTTCCTAGTGCTTACTCCATTCTTCTCTCATCACAGTCACAGCCTACGGGTTTTGTTTTATTCATGCCTCCATGGTTTTGAACTTTGATTTCCTTGTTTCCTGCTTTGAAAACGTCTTCCCATGTTTGTTATAGTACATTTTATTTTCTCTTCTCATACCAGGTTGTCGTATTACATTTTTATTTTACATCAGTAGCTTCTTCTTAGTTTAACCAGTTTCGATGCTTCCTTTCCAGATAATGTTTGATGTTTTATAACTTGATTCCATTGAGTCCATAGTGGAAAAAGAAAATCTTATCATTACCTTTGGAAGGTTTGCAATCTTTATTACAGTTTTTTTCATTTTTTAGTTGGGCATAGTTAAACTCAGAATCATGTGTGTATTTGAAAAGACAAACATCAAAGCTTAAAACAACCTGAAAACTGTAAATTAGACAATTAAAAAAAAATCTATAAAAATGTACTATTTTATATATGTTGAGTCTATCAACATTTTCTGTATTAAAGACATAGTAAATATAACCAAAACAAACAAACATTTTAAAGGACAAAGTTTTCTACCAGTTTAATAAGATGCAAATTGTTAACAATGCAAATCAAAATCTTGAGCTCTACTAGCACATTACTGTATACAACTGGCTATCACATTAAAACTTGAGGTGAAGGTTAAACCCAGACAGTTCATGTTGAATTAGATCCTCAGATGAATGAAGTTTTTACTATCTTCTTACATTATATAATAAAGTTCAGTTAAGCAGCATCTCCTGGCTGAGTCAATCTCAGATAGATACAGTTAAAATGTACACTGACTTGCCACTTTATTAGGTACATATGTCCAACTGCTTGTTAATGCAAAATTCAAATCAGTCAATCACATGTTAGCAACTAAATGCATTTAGGCATGTAGATGTGGTCAAGAAGATCTGCTGCATTTTAAATCAAGCATCAGAATGGGAGAAGAAAATGTATTTAATTGACTTTGATGCATAGTTGTTGGTGCCAGACTGGCTGGTCCGAGTGTTTAAGAAACTGGTGATCTACTGGAATTTTAATGCACAACCATTCCTAGAGTTTACAGAGAATGGGAAAAAAAAAGATAAAATTTCCAGGGAGCTGCAGTTCTGGGAGTAAAAAATGCCTTGTTGATTCCAGAGGTCAGAGGAGAACAGCCAGACTGGTTGGTGTTGAAGGAAAGACAACAGTCATTCAAATAGCCACTTGTTAGAACCAAGGTATGCTGAAGAGAATCTCTGAATTCACAACATGTCAAACCTTAAGGTGAATGGGCTACAGCAGCAGAAGACCACTCTGTTTGCATGGTTAAGCCACAAAAGTTGTTATAAACTTGGCATCATAGCATGTTATATGGCTTATTAAAATAATAAGAGATTACCCCCCTCAAAAAAAACAAAAACAAAAAAAACACACCCACAAAAAAAGTTTTTTCATGGCATGGATAATATGTTTTATTTAAGAATCCTACTTTGGCCAGAATAAGGGTTCTTCGTAGATTCCTTTGTAGCATTTCAACAAACCTACATTATTGTATAAGCATTTCATAAATAATTTCCATAAATAAAATCTCTTAATGTCACTTTATGAACAAATGGGACTTAAGTTTGCTCTATTTTATGTCAGAAAACGGTGTAGGCTGGGCGGACCCAAATGCAGAAACCAGTAGGCAGTGGTGAATTTAAGTGGGTTAATTAAGGTTCACAGGACCAGGGCGGGAATCAATATCCAACAGAAAACAACAAACGTACCAGAACCAAGGAGACATCAGGGGTAAACCAAAACTCTAGGAGCCAGGGAGAGACGAGCCAAGGCAGGCAGATGTTAGGCAAGATGTAAGACGAGGATCCAGCAAACAGGAACTGAAGAGGGAGGGCTTTTAAAGGGGACAGAGACAGGAAGAGGGCTAATGAGGGAATAGAAAACAGGTGAGGGCTGAACAGAAAACGGAGCCAGAGAAAGAGGACACAAGAGGGCAACAGACGACAACAAATGGAGAACCAGGAAGACAGGAACTAATAAGAAAACAACAACAAAATAATAATCAAATAACTAGGATAAAGAAACATGGTGAAAATAGAACTAAACACTAGAAATCAAGGATCAAAAGAAAAACATAACAGAAACAGAAACCTAACGTTTTATTTCTGTCCATCTTACTTTTACAACATTTGTCTGGATACTGTTTTGACATGATTCAATAAACTTAATCTTCTGACAATCAGCACTGGATGCTTGAAATGTATAACAAATATCCACAAGCTGTGAGATCTCCTTTAGCTCCTTATGCTGCAACCACCATATCTGGGGATGTGCAGATTTGCCCCTGTTTATGTTCATCGTATACTTAAATTTAGCAAAAAATAAATAAATAAATAAAAAGGCCACAAGGAGTTTCATGCAACGTGGTGAACAGGTGCATCTTAAGCTGTGTGCATGTCGGGATAGCAGGGCTGTTAGAAACCAGTTTGTTAGCTGGAAGCTTAGACTGATAATTTGGACTGCCACATTTTGTTCTTCTAAATAACCTGAACTTATAAATAACTAGAAAATCCCTCATAGAGCACAGGTATCCACCAAGCAGGACATTTTTCCCCATATTGTGACTTACATTTATAGCTAAAACTCACTCATGATTTGGATCATTACCAAATTTAAATTAATTGTGCCTTGGAATGAGGAGCACTTTTGGTAACTGTTTCCTTAAAATCCTTTAAAAAATTGTATAAATAAGCCACAGCTTTTGTCTGCAGCCTCTGGTGTTTGTTCTGCTCTCACCTCCTTCATTCACACTGCTTTCTTATTAGATTATCAGATTGAAACTCCGAGTGAGGCTTGGCTCACCTTTCCTGTGTCTTTGTCTTCAGTACAATACTTCTAGATTTTTTGATGTCCGATGCTCAATCAATCAATCAATCAATCAATCAATCAATCAATCAATCAATCAATCAATCAATCAATCAATCAATCAATCAATCAATCAATCAATCAATCAATCAATCAATCTTTATTGTCAACTACAATTTCGATTGCAATCGAAATTTCAGTTTCAGTACAAACCGTTCATCACAATTCATCACATACATACGGGTGGGGGGGGGGGGGGGGGGGGGACTGATTTACTAAGGCCATGCGTGCCACAGAACGCTGCCATTGGCGCATTCTTATGGCTTGCCAGGTTCCTGCCTGGCATCCCAGGTGGATACCTGTAGCTCTGCCTTTATCTCTGTGGAAAAATAGGAGCCACATTGGGGAAGAGAGGGAAAAAAGCACATTTCAGACTCACAGTTGCTCGATAAACTTTAAAAAGTTATATACATTTAAAAGGAGATCTTAGTCCAAACTAAGTTTTATATTTATTTCTCAATTACAAAAACACATTTAAAATAAAGGTTTGATTCCTCAAAAAATTTAGGTTGGGATTATGGGATTAAATATGCAAGAAGGAGAGTTTTCCCCAATATAAAGAAATGTACCTATAAAAAAAGCCATGAAAAGTCTTTGCTATCCATTTGAACTGATATGAAAACTTCAAAATTTATGTTTATATGAGCTTTGCAAACCATATGTGATTTTATTTTGTTTGTTTTATATGTTCTTTAAGAATTGGAGGAAAAAGGATGACCATCATGACTTAAGTGAATTACTAAAGAAAATCTAACTAATACTGCCTGAGACTTCAAGTGAGAAACACAGGATGCAACCTAAGATAAGAACAAGAGAGGAAGCTAGAAATGAGTGACAGAAAAGGAGATGGTAAGGATGCTGCAGAGGATGCTAACTGGTAAAACGATCAGGTGAGTCTCCTCAGTAACTGGGTGTGGACACAAACTGTTGAAGCTGGTGAAAATGATCATGAAAATGTATAAACACTACCAGGTTTATGGAAGCAATAGATAAACATTAATGGTTTTACTAAAGCAAAAAAATAAAACATAAATAAATACATAACCCTAGCTTTAATGAGATACCTAAACAGATTTAAAGTTGACCTTTGAATTTCTTTAAAAATAACCAAAGCAATTCCATGAATGTAGAAAAGATTTAAAGCTAATTGCATTTTGTTTAACCACAGAAATCAGCTTACAGTCAGCTTAACGGCTCCTGGTCCTGAGACAGAACAGAAAACTCCAAGAATGGATTCAATGTAAGAAACAGAAAAAAACGATGTTTTTATTGGTTTGGAGGCTAGTGTCTGTATGTGGGAACACAGTAACATAGATAGGAAAAAAGTGCTTAGAATTATTTACTAAAACGTTCTGATGTTATAAAATATTGCAAATATTTTGGTGAACATTAGAATGGCTAGATAAACTATCTATAGTTGCATGTCTTATTTACTTATTGTATGTCTTATTTTGCCTAGTCTCAATTTTTGTTTGTGTGTCTTTTTGGGATCTTACTAGATTCGATCCAAATAAGGCAGTCACATAATTTATGAGGAGAGGTCACATAATGACTGAGTTGCATTACTTTCTTAAGGCATCATACTTATTATCCATGTGACCTGTTATCTGAATGAGGATATAGGAGATCCATTTAAAGGATCTTTAGCTACACATAATCAAACATTATACCCAATAAATGTGTTGGGAGAAAGTTTGATGAGACAAAATATGTACCAACTATACAACTTTAGTCCCCTTTCAGGTGAGGAAGAAGACCTGGTTAGATGTTTCATTACCAGAATAAAAGTCTGACTGCTGTTTCTTGTTCTGAGGTTTAACAATTGAACTAAGCTTTTTTTTTTTTAACACTGTTGAATCCCTTTATATTTGGGACACGCTTTCTCTGTTCCCTTTGTCAAAGATTCGGACCCCACGTCTGCTGGGCTTTTAGCATCTTTAGGGGAGTGTTGTCTTCCCCAGTTTTTGGTTTCTTCAAAACATTTTAAACACCTCAATGAACTCTACCAAAAATACTCACATTCTTACAAGTTTTTATACCCTTCTTCCTTCTTAGAGGATCTGAAATCATTTGGATAGATCAGGGATCCTCTGCAAAGGAGGTGTCTTTTGGGAAGTTGAAACATTTACCCCTTTCAGATTCCATGTCCCTACTTTTCCCCTAAAGATGAATGAAACTCCCCTAAAGCTGTGAGCTAAAGATCCTCTAAATGGAATCTCAATCTTGACAGACATTCCTCATCAACTGTCTTTTTTAACTAAAAAGTGCCGGAAATGAATACTGCTAAAGCTTAGAAACATTAATATTACTTTTTATGGTGATGTTGTAAAAATGATTTTGTACAGATGGTGCATAATGAAAAGTTCAGTGATCACTTACGTTGGGTTCTGAATTGGTATTGGTCAAATTCAGAGAAATAAGACATCTTTAATTTGGTTTTCTTTACATCATTTTGCCAGGGTGTATATTTCTAGTGGTAACTGGATGGGGATACGCCTGTCATTTTGAAAACAATGTTAAAATTTCCTGAACATGTTTCTCTGTCTGCTGTTTGCAGACCAGCTTCACCTCCATCAAGCCCTGGGTCAATAGCTGATGACAGTGAACCAGATTTCAATGAAGACAGAGGATAAAAGAAAATGTTTTTTTAAAAGTTGACTTTTGCATTTGCAGTCTGTCAGTCTCTTGATTCTGAAAAATCCGTATTTACACGAATCATTGAGGATTATAAATACACCAAAAAGAAGTTTGTTGGAGTAATACATCTGGATATTGCTGTTTATCACTTGAATTTATTAGAGCATCTGGAAAACTGGGTTAGCCTTTCTAGTACAGCAGTGGACTGGTTTAAATCCTAACTGGAGGACAGGTACTTCCATTTGTCAGAAGGGAACTATAGATCAGAGACCAGAAAAATCACATGTGGGATTCCTCAAGGCACTGTTCTTCGGCCCCTCCTATTCAGTATCTACATGCTCCCCTTGGCTCAGATTATAGCAGGTTTTTTACCATAACAGTGCATACAACACACAGCTTTACACCATCTTTCTATCTTTCGTAGAATCAATTACTGCAACAATGTCTTCATAGGTTTGTCTAAAAAGTCTATTAGACAGCTGCAGCTAATCCAAAACGCTGCTGTTTATTTGTAATATGCAAATAAACTTGTCTTGCTTTTCTTACCCTTATAGTTACACATTTTCTGAATAATTTTATTATTTGCAGAATGTCTGAGGATCACCTACCAGCTTCACCCGATCCATCCAGTGTCTCAATGAGAAGTGACTGTTCCATGGGTCATCCTAATCACTTCAGAGACGGAAAAACAAGGTAAATTAAAGCATTATTGAAACCTTTTTTTTTTTGTGACAAACAACAAATTCCAGGAAGGAAAAAAATATGAAAAAAACAAAAAACAACTTTAATAACCTGTTTGTATGAATGTGTGCTTCAAATACTTACAGTGTCAAAACAGCCTTTGATTCAGTTTCCAACATAAAGTTTTCCAGAATCATAGATCCTAACCTTCAAAAATCCTCCCACTCTATCTTGAGCCAATCATTTTTAAAGCTCTAACACAAATATGTAAAACAGGTGGTTTTGTAATGACTCAGAACAGAGGGACAGGCAAGACAGACAGTGGGATAACTTAAAAAGCAACAGCGAATGGTTTGTGGATCTGCAGCAGCAGCTAGGGTGTCCGAGGCAGTTAACTCAGGTGAGAGGAAACACAAGTTAGTGACCATGAAAACCTGACGGAGGATGATCTGAACCATCAGTCACTAACCTGGTTTAGAGTTCAGACCGTGCCCAGAAAACAAGGTTGATACCAGCCAGTAGGCTGACAAGACGCAGCACTTGTTACACAGAGAGTTCCAGACGCCTAAGTCTGATTGCAACACACAGCTTTACACCACGATGTCACTAGCTGACTAAGAACCCATCAGAACGTTGGTTAGATGTTTAGAACAGAGAATTATGTGGATGCACCATAATTTTCTCCAACTGATTAGAACAGAACTGAGTTTAAAATCCTTCTGTTAGTCTGTAAATTAAATGGATCAGCGCCTCAATACATAAAAGATTTGTTTTCAGTGTATCACCATCCCAGACCACCAAGGTCTTCCAGTCCAAGCCTATTCTGTATACCCAGAACTACAACCAAACATGGAGAAGCAGCATTTACAAACTCCCAGAATACTGTAAAAGTGTTGAAAGTCTGAGTTCTTCTAAGTCAAAGTTAAAAACCCATTTAATCAGAGCTGCATTTTACTGTTGAAGTCAAACTATTCACTGATATACTATTAGTTTAAGGTTGTGATCCAGTTGTTTTATTTGTTTTACTACCTGCTTTTATCATGTTTTTATCTTTATTGGCTTTTATTCTACTTTAATAATTATTCAATTATATTGTTTAATGCATACAAAGTACTTTGAAGTGTCCTTTTACTGAATTGTACTATACAAATAAACTTGTCTTGCTTTTCTAAATCTTATAGTTACACATTTTCTGAATCATTTTATTATTTGCAGAATGTCTGAGGATCACCTACCAGCTTCACCCGATCCATCCAGTGTCTCAATAAGAAGTGACTGTTCCATGGGTCATCCTAATCACTTCAGAGATGGAAAAACAAGGTAAATGAAAGCATTATTGAAACCTTTGTTGTTTGGGACAAAAAACAAATCTCCAAGAAGGAAAAAAAGATTAAAAAACAAAAAACAAAAACTTCAATAACCAGTTTGTATGAATGTGTGCTTCAAATACTTACAGTGTCAAAACAGCCTTTGATTCAATTTCCAACATAAAGTTTTCCAGAATCATAGATCCTAACCTTCAAAAATCCTCCCACTCTATCTTGAGCCAATCATTTTTAAAGCTTTAACACAAATATGTAAAACAGGTGGTTTTGTAATGACTCAGAACAGAGGGACAGGCAAGACAGACAGTGGGATAACTTAAAAAGCAACAGCGAATGGTCTGTGGATCTGCAGCAGCAGCTAGGGTGTCCGAGGCAGTTAACTCAGGTGAGAGGAAACACAAGTTAGTGACCATGAAAACCTGACGGAGGATGATCTGAACCATCAGTCACTAACCTGGTTTAGAGTTCAGACCGTGCCCAGAAAACAAGGTTGATACCAGCCAGTAGGCTGACAAGACGCAGCGCTTGTTACACAGAGAGTTCCAGACACCAAAGTCTGATTGCAACACACAGCTTTACACCACGATGTCACTAGCTGACTAAGAACCCATCAGAACGTTGGTTAGATGTTTAGAACAGAGAATTATGTGGATGCACCATAATTTTCTCCAACTGATTAGAACAGAACTGAGTTTAAAATCCTTCTGTTAGTCTGTAAATTAAATGGATCAGCGCCTCAATACATAACAGATTAGTTGTCAGTGTATCACCATCCCAGACCACCAAGGTCTTCCAGTCCAAGCCTATTCTGTATACCCAGAACTACAACCAAACATGGAGAAGCAGCATTTACAAACTCCCAGAAGACTGTAAAAGTGTTGAAAGTCTGAGTTCTTCTAAGTCAAAGTTAAAAACCCATTTAATCAGAGCTGCATTTTACTGTTGAAGTCAAACTATTCACTGATATACTATTAGTTTAAGGTTGTGATCCAGTTGTTTTATTTGTTTTACTACCTGCTTTTATCATGTTTTTATCTTTATTGGCTTTTATTCTACTTTAATAATTATTCAATTATATTGTTTAATGCATACAAAGTACTTTGAAGTGTCCTTTTACTGAATTGTACTATACAAATAAACTTGTCTTGCTTTTCTAAATCTTATAGTTACACATTTTCTGAATCATTTTATTATTTGCAGAATGTCTGAGGATCACCTACCAGCTTCACCCGATCCATCCAGTGTCTCAATAAGAAGTGACTGTTCCATGGGTCATCCTAATCACTTCAGAGACGGAAAAACAAGGTAAATGAAAGCATTATTGAAACCTTTGTTGTTTGGGACAAAAAAACAAATCTCCAAGAAGGAAAAAAAGATTAAAAAACAAAAACTTCAATAACCAGTTTGTATGAATATGTGCTTCAAATACTTACAGTGTCAAAATAGCCTTTGATTCAATTTCAATCATCAAGTCTTCCAGGACATCAGATCCTAACCTTCGAATATCTTCCCACTCTATCTTGAGCTGTTCTTTACCCAATCATTTTTAAAGCTCTAATAACGCAAATATGTAAAACAGTTGGTTTTGTAATAACTCAGAACAGAGGGACAGGCAAGACAGACAGTGGGATAACTTAAAAAGCAACAACGAATGGTTTGTGGATCTGCAGCAGCAGCTAGGGTGTCCGAGGCAGTTAACTCAGGTGAGAGGAAACACACGTTAGTGACCATGAAAACCTGATGGAGGATGATCTGAACCATCAGTCACTAACCTGGTTTAGAGTTCAGACCGTGCCCAGAAAACAAGGTTGGTACGAGCCAGTAGGCTGACAAGACGCAGCGCTTGCTGCACAGAGAGTTCCAGACGCCTAAGTCTGCTTACAACACACAGCTTTACACCACGATGTCACTAGCTGACTAAGAACCCATCAGAACGTTGGCTAGATGTTTAGAACAGAGCATTATGTGGATGCACCATAATTTTCTCCAACTGATTAGAACAGAACTGAGGTAATAATCTTCAGACCAAAGGAGGAGAGATCAGAGTTAGCTCACAGCTTCAGCTAAAAGCCACTGATTATAGCCGAACTCTTGGTGTCATGATGAATTCAGATCTGAACCTTCAGAGGCTCATAAAGGCAGTTACCAGGTCAGCCTTTTATCTCCTGAGGAACATTTACATGATTAAAGAACTAATAGCCAAGCTGGATCTACAAAAGCTAATTCATGCATTTATCTTTCGTAGACTCAATTACTGCAACAATGTTTTCATAGGTTTGCCTAAAAAGTCTATTAGACAGCTGCAGCTGATCCAAAATGCTGCTGCCCCTGTTCTCACTAGAACTAAGAAAGTAGAGCACATCAGCTCGGTTCTGAAGTCTTTCCATGGGCTCACTGTAGCTCAGATAATAGACTTTAAAATCCTTCTGTTAGTCTGTAAATCACGATTGGATCAGCGCCTCAATACATAACAGATTAGTTGTCAGTGTATCACCATCCCAGACCACCAAGGTCTTCCAATCCAAGCCTATTCTGTATACCCAGAACTACAACCAAACATGGAGAAGCAGCATTTACAAACTCCCAGAAGACTGTAAAAGTGTTGAAAGTCTGAGTTCTTCTAAGTCAAAGTTAAAAACCCATTTAATCAGAGCTGCATTTTACTGTTGAAGTCAAACTATTCACTGATATACTATTAGTTTAAGGTTGTGATCCAATTGTTTTATTTGTTTTACTACCTGCTTTTATCATGTTTTTATCTTTATTTGCTTTTATTCTACCATAATAATTATTCAATTATATTGTTTAATGCATACAAAGTACTGAATTATCCTTTTACTGAATTGTACTATACAAATAAACTTGTCTTGCTTTTCTTAATCTTATAGTTGCACATTTTCTGTATCATTTTATTTCTTACAGAACGTCTGAGGATCATCTACCAGCTTCACCCGATCCATCCAGTGTCTCAATGAGAAGTGACTGTTCCATGGGTCATCCTAATCACTTCAGAGATGGAAAAACAAGGTACATGAAAGCATTATTGAAACCTTTGTTGTTTGGGACAAAAAAACAAATCTCCAAGAAGGAAAAAAAGATTAAAAAACAAAAAAAACAACAAGTTTTATAACGTATTTGTATTAATATGTGCTTCAAATACTTACACAGTGTCAAAACAGCCTTTGATTCAATTTCAATCATCAAGTCTTCCAGCACATCAGATCCTAACTTTCGAATATCCTCCCACTCTATCTTGAGCTGTTCTTGACCCAATCATTTTTAAAGCTCTAATAACACAAATATGCACACAGAGTTCCAGACGTTGAAGTCTTGAAGGAGACAGAACTGACAGGAGATCAGATTAGAGAAGATGACGGAGGACAGACGGATAATCCAGAGGGCAAAGTCAAGAGGCAGATCCAGGTTCAGGCCATAGATGAATCCAACAGAATCCAAAGACAGGTCAGACAAACAGATCAGAACAAGGGCAGGCAGTAGTGATGTTATGAGATGAGCCGAGGCTTCGAGGCGTGTGTCGAGTAATGGAGGGGGCGTTTCCCCGAAGCGTGTGTCGAGGCGTGATTCATTTAGAGGAGGGGCCAAAATTGATGACGTCAGAGGCCTCGTTACCGTAATACCACGTGATAGCTTCAGGAAGTGGTTCAGAATGCGCAATAATTTTGAAAGGCATCTAAACAGCCTCAGTGTTCAGTCAAGATGTGGGAGTTTGGAGGAGAGATGCTCTCAGCTGGATAAAGTTAGGATAGTTTCTAATAATAGGTTGGTTGTTTTTCCAACCAATCTAGTTGCTAATTTGGTTAGAATAAACAATGTAATGATAAAAATTTGAGCAAACCACCAGACAAAGCCAGTGTTAACACGTCAGAGTTAAGAAGTATTTTCTCCTAGCTAAGATTGTTTTCATAGGTGGCGTCAGTTGTAAGAGTCAGGCTCCCACTCTAGAGGTAGATGGTTCAAGACCAGAATTTGACTTTTAAAAATTTCGATTAAACTTAATTATTTTGGCTGATGAGACTAATTTGCATTGTTTTGCCCAAGTAAAAATATAGATTGGGTAAATTAGGTCGGTGCAGCCAAAAGATTGGTTGAACATAACTTCCAACCTGATTAAAACCAAAAAACGTGGAAAAACTATCATGTTTGAATAAAAATGACTAACACCTTTCATTTTGCTCATCATTGCCCAATTTGCACAAACACTGTCACTGTCTGCTTGAGTTTATTTCACTAAAATGGCAGAAAAACTGTGCACCTTAAATTATTGTTCTAAGAAATTTAAAACTTAAAAAACTTACAAAAGATTTTATTGTACACACCAACCATTAATAATTTCAAGGGAACTTAAAAGGGAAAAAAAAGAAAAACAGTTGCAAAAAAAAAAATCAGATTTTATTACAAACTGTAGTTCTGCCCTCCACCAGTAGATGGTGACATGTTCACATGAAGCCTCATGAACTGTGGGGATCGTTGAAGCAATTTGGCCAAACAGTTCAACGCTCATGAGGCTTCATCTCACCATCACTAGAAGGCAGGCTCAAAGGTTCCGAAGACAGAAACATAATAGAATCAGGCAATCAGAACATTATTAGTAACGCTAGACATCTCACCAAAGGCTCAACAATAATCAGGCACAAATTGCTGAGACCAATCAGCTTAAGTAGAAGCAGGAGCAGGTGGATCAGATGAGCAATGATGAGAAACAGCGCAGAGTTGAACAGGTGAATGAAATGAGCAATTAAGCCAGCCATCAGCGCAAAGAGGATGACAGGTTCATAGCTGGTCTCTCCTCCGTTATAGTAAATTCTTTAAAGTATTGTTGAAACCTTCATTGTTTCCAGAAAAGTACAATGTTAAGGATTATCATTAAAAAAGAAATATATATTTGTCAGTTAAATTAGCATATATTAGAAAACCTGAAAGTAAAATGGCATTTAAAATCTTTAAGATTCCATGACGGTGAATATCAATTATTTGAAGCTAAATTTAGAAAGCCATAAAGTTAGAAAGAGTTGGTAAAGTAGAGCTAACTGGAACAAATGTTTGATAAGTGGTTTTAAGGGGTTACGGAAATCAAGGTTACAACAGAAATGCACGATGTACATCAGAAGATGCTGTAAACAAAAAAAAAAAAAAAACTACTTTTAGAACAATGAAGGGAAGACAGGTTTCCCAAAACAGTGTAGGCAAGAGGAAAACAGAGGCCCTATATACATCACAACCAAAAATATTTTGTTTCCAAAATTTTTTTTGTTTTAGGAGGGATCAGGATCAGAAATGTTAGAAAGTGGTCTCTGTTACCAATAACAAATATTTATTCAAAAAGACGCATATTCTGTTTTGTCTTTTAGCCCATCAAAGAGTGATAAATGTGTGACAACAGTGGTCTTGGGAAAACCATATGATGATCAGCTGAACGTCAAGAAAGGTATGGTTTGTACTCATGTCTGTCTGTAGCATGACGTCCTTGCTCCACAATACTGTGGACACTTCAACCCACATTTTTATGGATCAGTGTTTCATTATATCATGAAAGTTGATCAGCTGAGGTCACAGGCATGTCTTTCAGAGCACGTAGCTAAGATCATGGGTTTAAAAGGGTTCGGCTTCATGTCATCAGTTACATCAAATTCTGCTGATTATTTTTCTCGGGTTTGATCATTCAGATTTTGGGGGCTTTTTTCAGTCTGCATAACTACACAACAAGTTGGTTCTGGTCAGATTTAACTGATTCATAAGTGAAAAGTGAGATTTTGCCTTTCTTGAAAGGATATCTACCTATGTGTGTTTACTTATAGGTTATAATTGGAATTAAGAATAACTATGAAAATAAATAAAATCCCATCTTACTAGTCCCATTTTTATCACCTCAGTCGTAGCAAACTAAGAAGTTGTTTTGTGTGGTTCAGTGTAAAGAAGAAGATTAGACATCAGTTGTTTCCCAGCTACTCCTCTGGAAATAAATAAGCTGCCTGCACCATGATGTGCAGCTGTAATAAAAAGAAAAAAAGGTGAACAAAACTTTTCCCTATCTTTGTATGGCCTTTCCATGTCTTACAGCCTAACTGTGACCCTTACCCTAAACCTAACCATTACAGGTTCATACCTAACCCTAACCTAAACTCAATTTGCACCTTAGTCCTAAATGAGATCCCTGTCCCTAAAACAGCAATTCCTCTCAGCATAGGGCCCCACAAGGAAACCACACAATGTAATAATTTTGCAGAATAATTTGCACTGGCTGGAACATTACATCCTGTTGCCTATCCTTTTTATGTTTCCTAAAAGTTTCAACATGTTTCACTAATGTTGATGTAATATGAGCTTAATTTATCTATAAGCAAAAAAATAAATTTTTGATTCTTCTTTCTAGCTTGCCTTTCTCCTTTTATTCTCCCTTAAAGCTTTTTGACCAACAAAAAGAAACCAATCCAATTGTATTTGTTAAGCACTTCTAAAACTGCTAACCAAAAAAAAAAAATACAAAAAAAAAATAGATAAAATGTAAAATATAATAAAATAAAAGACAAAACAGCTAAAACGTGGATAAAAAAAAAATAACATTCAAATATATAAAATTGGTTAAAAGATATAAGGAACAAAATAATAAAAATAAAGCCCACTGTTTTGCTAGGTGTAAATATCCAAAGGGAAAAGGTGGGTTTTAACAAGATATTTAAAAAGCATTAGAGAAAAAATACTAGCCGGCTTAAAATGATTAAGCCCACTTTCTTTGTGAACCATTCTACAATTATGATAAACCACATGTTTACAAGTCATAATTATCATCTGGCTGTATCTTAAAAGTGACAGATAAAATGTCAAACCCTAATTCAGTGTTGGGACATTTCAGCTTATTTAGTGGCAACAACCAAGGACATTTTTTGGTTCTGAACTGAAAGGATGATCTGAAAGAAACTTGTGTTTCCATCTATGTTAAACATATGCATACAATCTCAGTGTGCAATTGTTGATTTGTCAAGATTTAAAAGGTCTCTATTGGAGACCCGCCCTCTCCATTTAAAAAAAAAAGCACATGCACAACCCTGTATCTGCTCCCGAGAGGGAATGCCTATTAAATGTGACTGCATGCAAGCTAAGTTAAAAAAAACTATTCACAGAGACTCATTGTTATTTGGGAAATATTAAAAGCTGTTTATAGCCAATTAAACCAATTATTTCCAAACCCATCAATACTGTATCTTTGCTTTATTTTTTTTGTGTGTTTACAATTTAGATAATGGTGTTACACGCCTCTCTGAGGCCTGGAGGAATCAGATCTTGGCTTCCTATGAAAGTGAGCTCATGAAGGTGGAATTTGATTCAGAACTCTTCGAAATAGCCAAAAAAAGGAGACATATGGATAAAATGGTGGAAGCCTACAGTGATTTATTTGTTACATCAAAGAAGACCTGGAGAACAGTGCTAACCCAGGGAGTTGCTGGGATTGGAAAAACATTTCATACAAGGAGGTTGATGGTCGACTGGGCAAAGCAAAAGTCCAACACACACATAGACATGATTTTTCCCCTTCATCTTGGTGAGCTAAATGCAACAGAGGACAAAGTTCAAAGCATTGAGGATCTGCTGAATACTTTTGTCAATGATGCTGGATGGCATCAACTTTCCACTTATCAGGAATGTAAAGTGGCTTTCATATTTGATGGCTTGGGAAGCTGTCGGCTGCCCCTTGATTTTAAAGAGAACAAAAAACTGACTAAAATAACCGACCGAGCAGTAATGGATGTTCTGCTGACAAACCTCATCATGGGAAACCTGTTACCTGGAGCTGTGATCTGGATCATCTCTCAGCCCTCAGGAGTTAAAAGGATTCCAGCGAAATATATCAACAAGGTTCTAGTTTGTAAAGGTATTAAACTTCTTAACTCACATTTTCATTTTAAAATGCAGTAAAATACAGCAGTTCAATTGCAAACAAATGTCTTTTAAAGGTGTCAGATTAATGAAATGTAAATCCTAACGAGGTCATAGTTGTGAAAGTTTATGTAAAGACTTATTAAATATATTTTACAATAATTTCTAATTTACCATCCCTATTTAGAGATCAATGCTCAAGAAAGACTCACGGAAATTGGAAGAAATGGGATCTTGGCCGCTTACGAGACTGAAGTGGTTGAAGTGGAGACCGAAACAGAACTTTACACGATCGACACAAACAATATGGAATATGGAGAAAAACTGGTGAAAAGCTACAATGATTTATTTACAGACTTAAAGAAGAAAACTGTGCGAACAGTTCTAACAAAGGGGGTTCCTGGTATCGGTAAAACATTTCAAACAAAGTTGTTCATGGTTGCCTGGGCAAAACGAAAGTCCAACAAGGATGTGGACATAATAATCCCTCTTCAGTTTAGTGAGCTGAATGCGAGAAAAGAAGCTCTGAGCATGGACAGTTTGCTGAAAAGCTTCTTCAGTGATGTGGCTCAAAAAGGAATTGGAAACTATGAGAAGAAAAAAGTGTTTTTTATCCTTGATGGTTTGGAAAACTGTGAACTTCCTCTAGACTTTGACAATAACCTTTGGCTCACAGATATAAAGGAGCCAGCATCGATGGATGTGATTCTTACAAACCTCATTAAGGGAAACCTTCTCCCAAATGCTCTTCTGTGGATCATCTCTCAACCTGGAGGAGTCCAAAAGATTCCCGGTGAATACATTGGGCAGGTTACAGAATGTTGAGGTAAGAGTGAATATAAAATCAAATAAAACACCTCATCTACTTTCTTTTGCAAGCTATTAACATAATTTACCCATTGTTATTATTTTAAATAATTCAGAATCACATTATAGGACTAACAACAACGAATTGATTGACTAAACAACTTGACTTAATTTCCCTTTAAGATTAATAAAGAATTCTTTAACAGTAATTTTGTGTTTGTTAGCTTCAGCAAATCCAACTTGTAGGACTAATAAAATCTTAACAGTGGGTCAAAGTTTTATTCTGCACATTAGGGCTGAAATAATTAATCATATTTATTGTGATAAATCAATTATTGAAAGAATTGTCATCTAATTTAGTAACTTAGTAAGAGATTAATTGTTAACAGGAATATAGAGACTCTAAAACCTGTCTTTAGCTCACAGAGCAACTCACATAGAGCTGTAATAATACCAAAATTGTAACAAAAAATATTTTGCATTTCAGATGAAAAAAAAAGTTTTCATCTGTTATTAATATGCACTACCATAATAATAATTTCACCTGGTTTAATTTCATAAGAAATCTTTAAGGAACATTTTGCCACCCAATTATTAATCAAATAATTGAAAAAATAATAGACAGATTAACCGATTAGCAAAATAATCATTAGCTGGAGCCCTACTTCACATATTCATTCATTATGAAACCAAAAACTAAACATTGACATGCATGTAAAATTGGATAAAAACAGAATACATGTTTTTTTTTCAAAGGATTTAATACAATTGCTTCATATTTACATTATTACATTTAGCAAGCTACTGTAATCTTTGTTTTTCCTACTTAGAGAGCCTGATGCGCAGAAAGAAACTGGTTTCATGCCTGAAGAGAAGATTTATCCAAGCATACCCTGATGGAGGGGAAGAGGAAGTTAGTCATCCAAACCAGGAAACCACAGAACATGTCATGAGAAACACCTTAGTTAGTGAGATGGCTGAAAGTGCATCTAGTGAAAACACTGAGCCAAAGTCCCTGATCAAAATAAATGTTCCATCTGACATCTTTAAAAAAAGAGGGGAAGAAAAAATCAGAACGGTGTTGACTACTGGAGAACCTGACATTGGAAAAACCTTTCATGTACAAAAGTTTGTGACAGCTTGGGCCAAAAATGAAACTCGGAGCTCATTCTTCACCTGGAATGAAGGTCAAGGATCACCCTTACTGGGAAAAGCTGGAGATAATGTAGAAGTTATTTTTCCACTTGATTTGTCGAAACTAGACTTAATCAAAGGGAAACCCATAAGTTTAGTAGAACTTCTAAATTATTTCTTCATGGAAATCAAAGAGTTTGTCGTGTCCGACTATGCACTGTTCAAGCTTGTGTTTGTCCTGGATGGACTGAATGCATGTCAACATCTTCTGCACTTTGACAACAATGAGACTGTGACTGATATCAGAGAACAGGCCTCAGTGGACGCGATTATAACAAACCTCATTAAAGGAAACCTGCTTCCTCAGGCACAAGTCTGGATAACCTCCCAACCATCTGCTGCTGAGCAGCTCCCTGATGTCTTTATTGACAGAAAGACAGAAATTCGAGGTAAGATGTTATTATTTCTTGATCTTGTTACCTTTTTTTTTCTTGTCTTTATATAAATGTATTTTCTCTTACTACACCAAGTCCCATAAAGTGAAACGCCAGGCCTCTGATCCACAGAGGGTAATTTTCTGCAAATAAACTCTATTTTCATTCAAATATGTCAAAGTTTTTTTTTTTGCTTTTATGGTTTGACACTGTTTGCCTATCTTTTTAGGGTTTGTCAAGAACAATTTCAAATGCAATGCATTAAAAAGAGGCAAATTTAAAAGAAACTGTTTTTGATCGATATGTTTCACATTTGTATATCAAGATAGATGTTGAAAGAAATGTAATAATACATCTAAATACATGAAGATAAGAAAATGTCCCTTACATCCCTGTAAATTACACTTGGGGAAATTAGACAATTTAAAATGTTAATTAGGACAATGTAGACATCTTTATTGGTGGTTCAGTAATTGCAAAGGAGGTAAAACACACATAGAATATAATAAGCTGCCTGGAGTCTGATGGAAATGTGCTTTTACAGGTAAAGAGATCATTCACGAGCTAGTCCGTAGGCTGGAGCGGGTAAAGGACCTTAAACCAGTGGCTGTGATGTCTGTCACTATGAAGCCCTTCGATAGACTTTTACTATAGTTTCTTATACCTCTTTCCCATGGCTGAAAAACCTGTTTAAACACGGGAACAATCGCTTATAGTGGCAACAGCTGACTGTCCTGTGTTGAACCGTGTTAGGCAGTAGCCCACACAGAGGGGGGATCAGACTCAGCTTTTATTGTCAGTGGGAAGGCAGCCAAGTACCGATTGTAAGCAGGTCGACCCGTGCTTAGGTTAACCCACTAATTGTAATGGAAAACAGCCCTAAAACCACAAGTATAGGAGACAGTCCACATGTTAAAGTTTAATGTTGATAATGTCGTTCTATATGCTATCTAAAATCCCCCAAATTTAGATGAGATTCAGGTGATATTTACGGTTAATGTTGTTTTTAAGGCATCTGGCCACTGATCCTGAGAGGAAAGCTGGAGATGAATGTGGTGATCTTGGAATGTCTGGATTCTGGACAGCAGAGAGACTGCAGTATGTTAGATTAGGGGTAATGTTTCTGGGACATTGGTGACAGCACTATTTCTATAACCTTTTTACCCTGTAGACTGCTGACTTTATATAGCCTGCCAGCCAGTCTGGTAAAGCCCTGAATCTCCAGTCTAAAACAATCACAGTGCAGGAGGCAGAATTACCCATAAGGCAACAGTGCGTTGCTGTAACCATCACAGTCAAGATTGCAGCAGTGGGGCCATTTTTTTTATTATGATAATGGACTTTATTATATCCTAAATAATCTATACCGTAAACTTTCAACAAGTTGCTGCTGTAAGAGTTTTATTTTATTTTTTTTAAATATGTTTTTGCATCACATCCGTAGTTATCTCATTGGTTCTAATGTGTTTCTCTATTAGTCCTTCCTTTGATATGGAGCTCTACCTGCTCCTTTTTTAGACTGATATACCTTGTTTACAATGTAAGTCAGTCTGTGTGGATATGCTAGACTTTATATGTGGGTCGGCATCCTGTCACTTTCAGAATCACTCAGTTAAAACAGCTGCTGAGGCATGTGTTGAAGGAGCTGATGAAAAAGACTACAGGAATCAAATAGATACTTTTCACAGTTTGGAGAAGGAGTAACAGTCTCATTCTGATTACCTCAGAGGCCAAGGTGATGATTGTGTTTTTTCCACAAAGTTACATTTCATCATTAGCAGCCTGTTGCATAAAAAGCACATTTCTTTTTAACACACAGCCTCTTTCATGAACCATTTGGATGAACCATTGGATGTCTGATAGGGCCAGTTAGTTAGATGGTGTTTGTGTCTCTTTTTGTGCATTAATCGCTTAAGATTTTTTTTTTTTCTGCAGGAGCTCAGATAGCTTGTTTTAGGCATTTAATCTTATTTTAGAATGGGTTACAATCACAGAATAAACAAATAGAGGGTTGTTCTGTTTTTATGCAATCTGTGACTCAACCAGAGAGATCCCTGATGTTGCCTTTTTCTTTCTCTATGTGATTAAGCCCTTTTTGTTTCCCCCATAGCTGGATCCAGCAATATACAACAGCATATTTTTTCAAATTGTAATATTGCCATTTCTCACTTTTCATCATTTAAGTTTAAATTTTTCTTATTTTGATATCTTGTCTTATTTTATGGTGAAAATGACTCATTAAAAGAAAGTCTACAACATTGGGCACCAAGAGCATCTGTTATATAACCAAAAAAGGATGCCTATATATGGTTTCAACTCATCCTTAAAAAAAAAACAATGATTTGTCCCAAATATGATTTTTTTTTTTATCTTTGCAGAGAAACCTGAATTTGCAAGTCAACGGAAACTCAAATGCCAACTTAAGGAACATCTTACCTTTGTGTCAGAAGGGATTGATAAGGGAAAAACCTCTGCTCTACTTAAGGATATCTACACAGACCTTTACATTATAGAGGGGGACAGAGGAGAAATCAATGTTCAGCATGAGTGCAGACAGGTTCAAGATGCAAAGTTTAAACACGAGCAAGAAGAAACACCAATCAGATATTGTGACATCTTTAAACCATCACCTCTTAATACAGACATTAAAACGGTGGTAACTATTGGAATGGCAGGCATAGGAAAAACATTTGCATCAATGAAGTACATGCTGGACTGGACAGAAGGAACAGTGTCTAAAAACATTTTTTTCACTTTTCCACTTCCATTTAGAGAGCTGAATCTTAGAAAAGAGGAGGAGCGCAGTTTAGAGGATCTGATTCATGAGTTTTTTCCAGGCATGAAGACCTCTGAAATAACTGACTATGATAAATATGAGATTCTCATTGTTTTGGACGGTCTTGATGAGTGTCAGCTTGAACTTGATTTCAGTGAAAGCCATCAATGGACAGACGTTAGAAAGCCAGCTCCCGTGAGTGTTTTGATGTCAAATCTCCTCCTGGGGAATCTCCTCCCAAATGCCCAAATATGGATTACCTCTCGACCTGCAGCATCCAACAACATTCCGACTGAAAAAATTGATCGAATGACAGAAGTGAGAGGATTTAACGATGTACAAAAAGAGGAGTATTTCCGGAAACGCTTCACTAACAGAGAGAAGGCTGAAAAAATCCTGAAACACGTGAAGCAGTCTAGGAGTCTCTATATAATGTGTCACATACCTGTTTTCTGCTGGATAGTCTCAAAGGTACTGGAGGATATTGTTCACCAAAATCAGGACGATGGGCTGCCCAAGACTCTGACTGATATCTTCACATATTTCCTTTTACTCCAATGCAGACAAGCTAATGCTAAGTATAGTGAACATGAAGATAGTGAAAGTAAAAGTACAGAATCACACCCCTGTTGGAATACCAGAAATAAACAAACAGTCCTCTCTTTGGGCAAACTGGCCTTTGAGGCAATAGAAAAAGGAGAACTTCTCTTCAATGAAGAAAATCTTACAGACCGTGGTATTGACATCATAGAAGCTGCAGTTTTCTCTGGGCTGTTTACTCAGGTTAAAAGAGAAGATCATGGCCTGTACCAGCAAAATATGTTTTGCTTTGTCCATCTCAGCATTCAGGAGTACCTGGCAGCACTCTATGTCTTTCACACATTCAATACAAAAGGAAAAAATCTGTTCACTAAAACCACTTCCAGGTCATCACCCAAGCCTACAGTAGAGTTCTATAAGAAAGCAGTGGACAAGGCGTTGGAGAGTAAAAATGGGGACTGGGATCTGTTTCTCCGTTTCCTGCTTGGACTCTCTATGGAGGCTAATCAAGTTCTACTGCAAGAGCTGCTGAGGAAAAATGAAAATGATGAAGATACTTACACAGAAACAGTGGAGTACATCAAACAGAAGATAAGAGAAGACATCCAGGACCCTGAAAAAAACCTTAATCTTTTTCACTGTCTCAATGAGTTGAATGACACCTCCCTTGTTCAAGAAATTAAGACATTCTTACAATCAGATACAAAAAAATTTGAAAATTTCACTGCCTCTCAGTGGTCAGCTTTGACCTATGTGCTGCTGACATCAGATGAGAACCTTGATCTATTTGATCTCAAGAAATACCTGAAATCTGAGAAAGTTCTTCTGGGAATGATGCCGGTGGTCAAAGTCTCTCGAACTACTTTGTACGTATTTTGAAAACTGTTTTTTTTTTTTATACTAAGCTATCATGGTTTATCATCTTTGATAGTAATGACTTAAAGTTGGGAGGAAGTTAACATAGGCTTTTTATGTACAGCACTATTTAAGACCAGAGATGGGAAGTAACGAAGTACAAATACTTCGTTACTGTACTCAAGTAGATTTTTCTGATATTTTTACTTTACTTTACTACTTATTTTTATGGCGAGTTTTTACTTCTACTCCTTACATTTTTACACAAATATCTGTACTTTCTACTCCTTACATTTAAAAAAAATTGCCCCTTAAAGATTTCTTAAATATATGGGTTTTGTTTTAGCTTAAATGTTTTCAAATCATTGATTTTGAAATCAGACAAACAAACTTTGAAAATTCAGTCTTCGAATAATTATTTCATTTAATTTGAAACAACCCCACAAAAAGACATGACAAAACTTTTTGTAAAAAAAGTTTCAAAGCCAATTTTAGGGCTCATTTTATGACCACCCCTAGGTCACAAAAAAACACAGAGCATCAGCTGGAGTACCGCAGTCCATGACAACTAGGCAGTTGTATGTTTTTCGAGATGTTAAACCATCTGCTGACTAAGGAAAAAAAAAATATAAACCCTTATAGCTTTGATTTATATTCCCAAAAAACAATGATGAAAATGGTGATTGGAAAAATATGCAATGGGTGGGTGACACAAACATGGAACATTCTGAAAGGGATACGTCTCATTACATGTAGTGTAAAATACAGAGAGCACCTGGCCTGCAAAAAACTCACCATGTTAAGTAGTCAAAAAAAAAAGAAGAAAGAAATTAGGTAAATCTTTATCTTCCAAAATTTTCAATGCACTATATTCCTCAACACACCATGCTACTAGGTGGTCCCTCTTTTAATTCTCTGTAGCAGAGTACCTAAAGTACACAATGAATCTATCTGTAAGATTGTGACAATATTTTGTTCATTTGTGCTGCTATTTTTTTTTTTTTTTATACAGACTGAGCTGGTGTGAGCTATCGGAAGAATCTTGCAGAGGTTTGAAATCTTCAGTGCTCACTTCTGCATCGTCAAATCTCACAGAACTGGACCTAAGTCATAACGATCTGCCGGATTCAGGAGTAGAGCTTCTTGCAGAAGGACTAAAGAGTTTACACTGTAAAGTGGAGCTTCTTAAGTAAGTGTGCTTTGGAATTAAAACACAGTTGTTCAAAAATCAGTGAAAAAGAATAATGGCATATCTCCTTTTGCTAAGTGTGAACAAATTCTCAAAATTATCAAGTTTTTAGCATGACTTTTGTATGTGCAGTAATAACAAACATCTTAAACCATATATTTCAGGTTTCAACAACCTTTGAGTCCCCTTATTACATTAAAGATGCAGAGAATCAAAAATATTATTATGGTGTTAAATCAAAATGAAAAGTTAATTTAGTTGTTTCTTCTTCTAGCATAAATTAACCAGTAATTTTTTTGTGTATGCATGCTCAGTTTAGCAGGTTGCCAGGTGACTGAGAAAGGCTGTGATTCCCTTGCATCAGCACTTAAATCTAATAAAGTCTCCAAACTAAAAAAGCTTGATTTGAGTTACAATCACTCTGGAGACAATGGACTGAGTGTGCTCAACGCTATTGCTGATGACCCAGCTCACAACCTAGAGACGCCGTGGTATGTTGCTGATACGTTTGATGTTTTTTTTGTTTTTTTTATTATATTAAAATGCAACTAAACAGGACGTTTGGGTTATAGATGTAGCTGTCAGTCAAGAACTTAAGCAGAACCTTAGAAATTTTCATGGAAAGAAAAACACAAACTTTGCAGCCACTCAACTGAATTCTGCAACCATGTTTAGAAAAACCTTTTTAAAACAAGCTGAAATTACTCACCGTGGGCAGAGTAGCCAGAAGTTTCATTCGAATAGGACGTATTTAATAGGAGAATATTACCGGTACTCAAGAAAAAGTAAGAAGTAGGGTACCGTAAAAATGCTATCAAAGGTAGTTTTAAATCCCCAATTTTACTAAACTAAATGTAGTTTTACTAGCAAGGCTTATCTAATAAAGTGACATGTGAGTGTATGGATGGAAAGCAACTATAAAAATAGCATTTAACCTGATTTTTTTTTTTTTTTTAACAGTTTTGACCATAATGGACCACATCGGTTAAAGCCTGGGATGAAGAAATGTAAGTCTGCTGTTTGTTCTCTTTAAGATTTTTAATTCTGTTTAAATTTCCAGACATAATCTGGACGACTGCCTTTACATACAAGTCATGAGATCAAACTAGATATATATTAGATATGTTTTTCCTGTATCTCCATCAGCCAACATGTGCATGCATTACATTCACAATCCGTGGGTCTCATCCACTAAAAGTGGTGCTCTCTAACTGAAGGGGGCTTGGTAGAAATAAATTGAATAAATAACCAAGTTTGACAGTTTTTCTTTTTTTTGATAGCAATGTTAAGTTCTGTTAAAGAGTACAATAAATGTGTAAACTCAAAATAATTTCATTTCAAACCTGGTAATTTTAGGGCTTTAAAGTAAATTGTAGTTTATTTTTAATAGCAATATTTAATATTGCTGTTGATTTTTTTGTTTCAATTGCTGAAAAGGTTGGAGCGAGATTAAAGATTTAGGGGGTGCAAAAACCTTTTTGTAGACAAAAGGGGGCCCAGATCACATAAAGCTTGTGAATAGCTGCTTCCTCCATTTGCCATTTAATGTTTATGTTATTGATTTGGTAATAAAGATTAGTTTTTTTGTTTTGTTTAATTTTGTGTAACGTCTGCTATCATTGAGTGTTTTTTATCATTTAAACATAGGAAGAAAAAGCAATACCGGTCCTAAGAATCGGCACAACATCAGGAGTAAATATCGGGGATTGGTTAGAATAATGTTAAAATAATCAGTATGGGCAATGGACATAAAAAAAACCCTGTATTGGTCAATTTCTAGCTCCAACTAACTGGATTACAGAGATAATGTGGTGGGGCTGTGACATTTTTCAAAGAAAGCAAATCAAATAATAATAATAATAAAAAACAAAAAAATAGCAAAAAGTTAAATGATATATAAAGGGCATAGCTACAACTTTTGTTATCAGAGCCTTTCAAAAATAATACATCTATAGAATGTCTTGATTGCTACAGAATAAAAGTGTTGCTTTTACCGGAAACAAAATGTGTTTAGCATATAAATAATTGCTCTGTAAGTTTGGCTGATCTAAATTATATAAATATTTACTTCTGGTTACATTGTCAACATGAGGAAATTCTATATCATTATAAAATATAGGCTGCAGTTACGTGAGACGGAGCTCAGGCATTAGCTGATACTAGTAGATCTATGATAGCGCTGAGAAATGGCCTCTTCTCATTGATAAAGTCGAGATGAACAGTGATTTATATAAAAGTAAAAGAGATTACATAAGAGCCCCTGCCTTGGAACATAGTTCATGACTTTTGCCAGCATCATCATAGCATAGTAAATCAATGTGACAACTGAAGACTTGCAAAAGTTTTAGTTTTTTTTTTTTTTTTTTTACTTTTTCACCCCCGGACCGCCCCGACTTCATAGACTCTCTAAGAGGCTTAACCTAAATTGAAGTGACAGATTTTTGCATGTTATCCAATCAGGGCGCTACTTTCTCACTGGTTGCTTCAATGCACAGAGGGATTTCTAATTGACTGAGCATAGCATATAGAGTTCTGCTACTCCAGAGGAGCAGAGATCGTTTTGTGCAGCTGATTAATGTTCAACATACTCATGAAATAAAGCACATTTTAGTGCACATGTCATTTAGTTTAATGACTACTTTTATCAAGCCTATTTTACAAAATTTAAAAGGGATCTTTCCCCATCATAGATTGAGCGTGAAGCCGATTGTGATGGATCCTCCCTGCTTTCGCGCCCACGGTCACAACCAACAAACTTCCTAGCGGACATGTCGCTGAATCTGCTGCGACTGCAAACCCTTTTTTCTTTCTTTCTCTTTTTATTTATTTATTCTTTTTTTTGGGCAGGCGGTAAACAGCAGCTAGGTTAATAACAGGATCAGATAAATATTTTTATGCAAGCCGGGTGCCTCCGGGCGCATTGCTGCCCCCTTCAGGAAACTAGAGAATGTTCAGCATATGCCAGCGTTTTAGGAGATTCTGGGAAGTCAGGCATACGCTGACTAAATTGTTAAGGTGTGACAGGGGCTTAACTTATTTTAAATGTGCTTCATGTTTTGCCTTTTTGCTGACATATATTTAGACTGAAATGTAAATTTGTTTTCCAGATGCTGTGGATCTCACTCTTGATGGAAAAACATCTAGCAGACGGCTGGTTCTCTCTGAAAATAATAGAGAGGCAAAAACTGAATTTATTCCGCAAAAATTTAACACACGTCAAGAAAATGAAAAATACAGATTTAAGAGGACCCAGGTATTTTGTGAGGAGAGCCTAAAAGGCATCTGCTACTGGGAGGTGGAATGGAAAGGCGTGGTTGGGATTGCAGTGGCGTATAACATTGTGGGTAGAAATTATGACAGTGGTGGTGGACTTGGAAGCAATGACTGGTCCTGGAGTTTACTATGTTCCAAGACCAAATGCACTGCCTTTCATGGGAAGGATTCGGTTACAGTTAAGATTAAGCCATGCCCCAAAATAGCCGTATTGCTGGACTGGAAGGGGGGCACTCTTAGTTATTTCAATGTGTCATCTGGAGAGCTGAGTCTGATTCATACCTTTTATGCCAATTTTGAAGAGGAGCTTTTTCCAGGCTTCTGGTTTCAGAAAGGCTCCATAACTTTGTGTCGTGTATAAATTTTTTTTTTTAATGAATGCCAGCTGTTATAAGCAACTATACTGAACAGGCAAAACATTGTATTATAAACAAGAAGCATGATTAGCAAAAGTCAAACTAAGACTTTTTTTCTCAATGTTTGTAAATTGATGATTTATTAAATATTTTTCAAATACATAAATAGAGAGACCTTGTTGAAACATAATAGTTGTAAAAATAGAGATACTTTGTGACATTGCATAAAAGATTTACTTTAACTTTTGGTTCAATTTGAACACAAGTAATTTACATAGAAGCTGTAAAATTACAACATCTCTTTCCAGGTGATGAAGCAGACTGAAAATGTTTTATTGTTATCTCCCTTTTATTTCCTCTTTCTTGCATCTTTTCTCCTTTTTTCTGTTTTTCCTTTCCTGTTATACTTACATTGCAGTGTCCATATAATATGTAAAACTCCCTGCATAATTATAATAAAGCTATTTATATGCATAAATCAAGTGGAACACTATGGCGATAGACGTACTGCTCCACTTGTGAAAGTAAAATCTGTGGGGCTCTTTTTGGCATCAAGACAATTATCTTATTCTTATCTTATTGCCACATCGGAAAACTGAATGTGTTTTATTTAATAAAAATAATAAAAATGTGAATTGCAGTATCTACGTTCTTTAATGTTTAAGTTGTATTTATCATACTGTAAAGGTGGAGTAAAGATGCATTTTGCTACAGGACTAATTTATCATTATGGTTGATGAGCCTCATAGGTCTGAACAACCCTTAGATCCTCAGATTTCTTTAGCTTGAAATTACTATGAAAAATAGTAAGTAAAAAAATCTAAAGTGATTGAAATTAAGATTTGAAGAAAAACATCATGTCTAAAATATCCAAAAAGCCATCCAGAAAATCCAAATTTGTTTTTCTAAAAATCTAACAAAAATATTACAATCTTCCATGATGTACCTGTATGAACTATAAGGATTGTAAAGCGCCTTGAGATGACATGTGTTGTGAATTGGTGATTTATAAATAAACTTCTTTTAAAAACATTTACAGTTTTGTGTTCAGAAGTGTTTTTGCAGAAACTCTTTTCTTAAAAACTTGAATCTTAGTAGGGATCATCCTGGAAACGGGATTAAGAGGATAAGGGTTCTCTTAAATCTGGTATGGATGTTTGCTGTGCAATAGTAGTAATTCCTTGCAAGAAATTAAAAACAAGTGTGACGAGTGAATAAATGGAAATATTAATTCTGAATCAGATAAAATAAATGTTTTTGAATTTAATAAATCAAAATTAGTATGCACTGCTGCGGATCAGAGTTTGTAAGGAACCAGCTTTCTTGAAGAAGGAAATTGATAGTTTTATTGTTTGGCTCGACTTTAAAAAAAAGCACATTAAAAGAACTATTAATAAAATTTCAAATATGTAATTTATAGTATGGCACAGGGGATATATCCCTGCCGGCTGCTCCCTTCCTCCAGCTTCCACAATTTGGTTCTGATAGTTCAAATAATTGTCCAGTGGGTTAAGAAAAAAAAAGATGAATAATGTTCAAGCTATAATGTAAACTACATAACGTTTTACATTAAACCATGGGCGTAGGTTTGCATAGGGACCATAGGGACATGTCCCTACCAAAGTTTTGAACCGACCTAATTGTCCCTACCAATAATTGGATGTGAGCAACATGTTTATAATTTCCAGCAGTAGTTGTCGCAGCAGCTGCTTCTTTTCCTCTGCCTGCTCTCTCCTGTCCCTTTCATGTAGCAGCGCATTGAACTGTGCTGCGCTGTTTAACTCCACTCTCATTGGCTGTTCTGCCTTAGGTCCCGCCTTCTCTCTTTCTGATTGGCTGTTTTCTAGTCCGCTGTGCTTGGAGCACAACATTGAAAATTTATTCACACTAGAATGCAGCGGTTACTACAATTAATATTAGACTATGAAACTAGTCCCAATAAAAAAAAAATGAATATCATGTACACTAAAAAACAAAAACCTTTTTTTTTCTTTTATAAAACGAAATATTCTGAGTCAGCCAGGAGTTCTGAAGACTGCTGGAAAAATGGGCAAATAAAGGCTGTAAGCATCAACATTTCTGATTCTTAGCCACAGCCAACTAAAAAAGAAAATGTGAGGGTTTCCTTTTTACCGATATTTAGTTGCTGTTACTGTTTTCATTTTTTGATGACTCTTTGAGGAAGTTCAGGTATAATTATTAGCAGGTGTTATTTCTCTTATAGAGGAAAACAACAAGAAATGGTGGCTAAACATCTGCTGTTTATCGTTTAAAAAGCATAATTAGGGTTCCAAATAATAATAATAATTTAATTGACTATTTATACTTCTAGAAATAGGATAAAGAGAAGAACACACAGATGAAGAATATTAACATTGATTTTATCTTACATAGATTTCCACACAGTCTATAAGTAAATTAGTACAAACATTAATGTCTGGTAAAAATGCTGGAATCTGACTGTTTATTTTGGATATTATTAAATTACAGATAAGATAGTGTTATATTGTCTTTTATAATTGTTAAAAGTGATTTTATATTTTAATAAACTTAGGCTCATTCTCAGTGTTGTGTTTGTAGATGATGCCACTAAAAAGAAAATATACATATGGAGCTATTTATACAGTCAGACAGCAGCAATATAGGACAATGATAAAAGGTTGTGTTACATTTAATCCTTTACTATTAAAAATGCACTTATACATTATATGATTATAGGAAACACAGATATCCAGTAATAATGGTGCAGGGCAGCTTGTAGGGGAAGCAGCTGCCATTCAGTGCTTCAGGTGATGTCTAAATAAACCAGGTGATACTAAAATATTTCCACATGAGGAGTTCTGGATGGAGAATTTTGATTATATATATGTATTGTAGTTTTACAATTTTGGTATAATTACTGATCTAAGTGGGTTGCTCTGTTGGAAAAAGACACATTTTACATTTATATTATGTTTTAGAGTCTTTATACTCCAGTTAATGATGAATCAATTATTAAATTAGTTGACGATTATTGAAATAATCAATTAATGCTTCAAACATTGATAAACAGCATCTAATGAGTGTAGTGCTTTTTTTATTTAATTTTTATTAATGTAGCAAAATTATGCTTTTCTCTTTTAACATTGAATTCCTCTTATCAGTACGGATGCTCACATCGAGCATAAAAAAGGGCATATTGCATAGCACCAATGACACCTGACCAATAGTGTCCCTACCAAAGTTAAAATCAAACCTACGCCCTTGCATTAAACTATTTTAATTTAAAAGTATGATACTCCGTGATATGAACTATAGCTTTATAAAACCATAACATTCATAGATACCTACATAAAAACAAAAGTTTGATGTTTTGCTTGACTGGTTTCATGTCATGGTAACTGAAACAGATTTCCATTAAGAAATAATATCATGTCCTCAGGGCTGTCAAGTATCACCCATTGGGTGTGAGACTCGCTTCTCAGTGTTTTCACACACTCTCAATCCTTATCTCCTTTTTTTTCAAGCTAAAAAACAACGGACGTTAAAACTCAACTCCATTCCACTTATTTATAAATAAAAATACCATGGTGATAGAATTCCAGTCCGCGTTTTTGACACAACCGTAGTGCTAACACCTAATTACACGACAGATGTAAATCCAGTCCGTATTTTTGCACCAGCCCACCTAATCACTGCGCTGACAGCAGCTGCTGCAGATATTTAAAAAAATGACGGGGATTTCTAAGCAGTTATTATGAGGTATGACATTCGCTTTTTTATCTTATCCTTTTCTTATCTTGCCTAAGATAGTTCCCTTTGTAAATTAATTAAGATTTTAAGCAGTCTAGCACTTATGAATTAAATTATGAATTAAATATACTTAAGTTCTCCCAAGCTCCCAAGTTAATTATTGCTCAGTCTAGTTGAAATTTAGAACTTATTAAACCAACACAAATCTTTAAATTTTTAAAAATGTCTTGTATGCCTCACAAACTGATAGAAGGTCCACATAAAAGAAAAAAGAATCATTGTAGTTTATTTTTCAGTCCCCAAGAAAAGACCAACCACATTAAAACACAGAGAGATTTTCTCATTTTAATTTATCCTTATATTGGTCCATTGAATATCTCTAAAAACGTAATTTCCATCACATTTTCTAAAATGAAACATCCAGAGAAATGCTGTCTTGTGTCATGGAGAGTTTTTATAGAATCTACCGGGGCTGAAACAATTAATCAGATTAATTGTGATTAATCAATTATTGAAATAATCGTCAACTAATTTAGTAATCGATTAATAATTGAACTGAAATATAGACTCTAGAACATGTCTTTAGCTGACAGAGCGACCCACTTAAAGCAGTAATTATACCAAAATTGCAAAACAAATCTGAAAACATTTTGCATTTGAAATAAAATGCTCTTTCCAGAACTCCTGAAGTGGAAACGTTTTAGCTTCACGTGGTTTAAATTGGTAAAAAGTCTTTAAGGAACCTTTGACTCTCCGATAATGAATCGATTATTTAAAAAAATAATCAACAGCTTAATCTATTTGAAAAATAATCGTTAGTTGCAGCCATAGAATCTAAAAGCTTCGTAGAAGGTCTGAGTTGTTTAGCTGTTTTCTCGTTTTCTCAGTTGTAAGAAGAAACTGTTAGATAATGTGTTGAGATTTGTAATCCTTAGCCTATTACCAAATATTCATACACAGTGTAGGTTGCACAGGATTCAACTGAACTGGTTCCTCTTTCAGTACCAGTAATCCAGTAATAACCTATTATTTTCCCCACTGTTTATTTTACATGAAATGCAGAGAATAATAAATAAACAAATTTGTGAAATTCTTAATTTACAGTATAATTAAGATGCAAGTATTTTAGTAGGGCCCATAATTCTTTACTTCAGTTCTTTAAAAATCACCAGAATATAGAAAATAAAAATTGTGTGAAAAATTAATCACAGATCACTTATTGTTATTCAATTACATTTATTGTCCTATAAAAATTCCGAATTTTGCCACTTAGTTTCGGTGAAATCCTCTGAAAACCTAAAGCTAGGTTAGATCATTATAATTTAATACTAAGCAGTGGTGTCAAAAGTACACACATTTGTTACTTAAGTAGAAGTATAGATACTGCAGTTTAAAAACACTCTGGTAAAAGTTGAAGTATCAACTTGACCTCTTTACTCAAGTAAAAGTGAAAAAGTATGTGCTCCAAAAACTACTTAAAGTATAAAAGTATAAAGTAACCTTTAAAAATAACAGCCAGATTTCTCTATATGAATTGAAAGCTCAATTTTTGACTATTTGAAAATATTCTTTGAAATAGGGCCAAGGATGAAGAAAGTCTTGTTGGTCTCCGTCTCCATCTCCCGATACACTCTCACCTGTGTCCGACCTTTCAGAAATTTCAACATCTTTTTTCTGAATCCGACATTGTAGCATGGCATAGAGAATTCACGTTTGCAGTTTGAAGAACACCTGCTTTCTTCTGATGATTTTCTTTAGCTAACCAATGAGTGTTTGTGTTATATGACTCATCCTATTACACTAGTTTTCACTAGATGTGGATGGAGCCAATGATCTGCATTGGATGGCGCACTTAATGAAATAAATATTTATTAACATAAAACCAATTAAAAATCAGCAGGGTCCAAATAAAGAAAATCATCAACCAGTAAAGGTCTGAAGACATTTTTAATTATCTGTTGCTTTAAACAGAATTTAACACTGAAATAAAAATAGTTTTTTATGCATTCATATATAAAATATATATATAAAATAAGAAAATTCTCCATTTTAAAATCTAAAGTGTTTTTTAAAGTAGAGAACAACAATCGTTAATTTTGGTATATAGACAATTTCCTGTTTCCCATATTTCATAAAACACCTGAACTGAATATTTGTTATTTTTCTTTCTTTTTTCTGGCTTAATGAGAGCAGTGGGATTTAGGCTGCCCTGCAAGGCTTTAAACCTGGGTCTGATTTGAGACTAAGCCATTCTCAAGCACATATCAAGGTGCTCATTTTGAGCCTGGATCCATATTTATTTTTGATTCTGTTCATGGTGGAAAATCCTGCTTCACAGCAGGTTGAGCAAAATGTACTCTAGCAGGTACTCTGGCAGGTCGACAGTCAGTTTGATGTAAATCTCAAATCAAATGCAATAACCTCTCTTTTAAAAAAAAAAAAAACAGTGTAAGATCTGATGAGAATCCGTGTCGTTCTTCCTGTGGGGAAGATTTTGCTGCTAGAGAAAGTGTGGCAGCTGGTTAAGCCGAGGTCAAAGATCATAATGAAAAACAACAGGAGTTGGTCATTAGAGTTACAGTGCCTGCATTGAAGAATGGTTCATAAAACATTGAGCCAGGAGATGATTAGTTTAAAGCCTTTGCATTTACACTTTCTTTTTTATTTACCTAGAGTGGTTTAAGGTTTACACTTCGGGTTAAGGAAGCAGTTGAAGCAACCCTTTCTAACTAAATGCTTTAAGATTTGTTTCAATAAATTATTTATTGTGATCAGTTAGTAGATTAGTTATTTTTCAATAGTGGGTGTTTATATTATAAAAGTTAGTCTAAAGCCCTGAATAGAGAGGATTGATTTTATATGCCTCTTTACTTCTTTGGGCACCTACCCCTTTTCTGCACTCTGCACAGCCCTGTGCTTGTGCAAAACAAAAAAATTGTCACTGACTGTTTATTTTAAATAGATCACAACCGTCACAGGCCTTTTACAACCACTCAGGAAGTCCTTCTACCAGGAAGTGTCCCTGTGATCTTGACAACTAATCTGCTAACGGTTATAGAAGTACTCTGAACAGCAGCAATTAAACATAAACAATAAAAGTTAAAACTTAATCGTTTCTATGAAAATCAAACTACCCACAGCAAAGGCTAAAGTCCAGACTTGTTAAATATTTACTTCTCTGAGCAGCTTCTTAAAGAATATCCTTGAGAAGATCTGCGTCGAGTTCTGTCTCAGAACTCCAAAATAGAGAAACGCTTTAAATCTTAGTAAGTACAGCGAGACATTGAACCATGATGCCAGAAGCCTGATTTAAAGAGCATTATTATTGCAAAGTGATGTGTCTGTAATTAGAAAAGTTGAAATTTATCTTCAGATCCTGAGTATATTGAATACAATTCAAAACCTCAACTAACACCAACATGTCTGAGGAAGAAGCTGCGGACACATTAACTGGTAAGTAAATAAAACTTACGGTACACATTCTTTTTGCAAAACAATTGAATTATATTACATATAAAAAGTCAGTTTTGATTTGTTTCTTTTTTGATTAACAATGTTAGTTCTGGAAAAAAAGAACAACTTGTAGAATAATGTACAAAACTTTGTGAAGCATTTCTTTTGCAGTTCCGATTTGACCCTAACTTTGTTTTCTCAGTTAAATAACTAAAGTGGATTTTACATAAAGAAAAAATCAACATATTCATTCGGTTACGATCCAGATTTTATGACCATAGGTGGGGGTGGGAACGTAGACCTACAAGTAAGGAGAGATTTGCCTTTTTACTCAGCTCTCTCTTCCCCACAAGAGACAGGTGCGGCATCAGCATTATATTAGCAGCCGCACCTATCTGTCTATAAATCTCTTGCTTCATTCTTACCTCATTCTTGAATAGAACCTTAGGATACGTTTTCAGTGAGAATGGAATTTAGCAAAAATAATGTTGATGTTTGATGAAATAAGGAATGCTCTAAAGAGGTTTTTAGGTGGAATTAGGTCTAATCATGAAGTTATTTTTGTGTTTTTATTCGATTCAAGAAAAAAACTGATGTGAAATGGGACAAAAAGACCAGTTTGTCCCACACCAAGCAATGTTTCTATGATAAGCATCATGTCAAAGGGTGAACATTGAACTTCAGAGACAAGTATGACATTTCACCATATTTTCTCTGTCGTTCTCTTGAACATTCAGAAATTTAACGTTTCAATTAGAAAAACAAGGTTCATACTGTCCTTGCAGCGTTTGAAGTGTTACAATTTTTACAGAAACTCTAATTTGTTTTAAAGCTCACCTGAAAATCAAAGACCAGTGTCACCTTCACCAAGCCTGAGAAGTGACATGTCAAACAAGCAACCTCCTAACTTCAGCAATCACAGGTAAAATACTTTACCAGTAAAAAATTTTTTATTTGATGCAGGAAAAAAAAAAATCTGAATTTGTTTGTGTTGTAGTAATATTAGTATTACCTTGATTATATGAACAAGTAGGATTTGTACTGGTGTACGGTTATTTTGACTCCGTGCTTACTCAGTATTCGGTTGCAGTCATGTTTCATAAGATATGGATGATGACTTTTCTATTATCATGATTTACACATCCACAGAATAATTTATAAATGCCCAATACCATACAAATATTCATGCAACATCTAAAGTAATATCTAGATTCTTGTTTCTGTAATAAATTCTTTTTGTTTTGTAAAACTGCTACGGCTCTGATAGGCAACCCTCTGTTATATATACGGTAATATCTGTGAAACTCCACATTTGGGCACAACTTGTTTTCTTAGATTCTGAATCAAAACATTGCTTTAAACCAAAAACCAATGGGTATGAATAGCTCTCAGGTAATTCTGTTTTTAAACACTTGTAGAAATATTTAATTCTGATATACTATTTATCCCTGTACATATGTCGCTATTATTAGGTCTATGTTCTAAACAGCTGATTTGCCGAAATACATGAATTTATTTTGTAACTAATAATTCTTTGATGCTTAAACCTCTTGTTAAAATTTGTATTTAAGGAGGCCTGGGAGAGAAAGACCAGTTTCTCCCACACCAAGCGATGTTTCTATGACAAGCAACATGTCAAAGGGTGATCCTTTGAACTTCAGAGACAAGTATGACATTTCACCATATTTTCTCTATCATTCTCTTGAACATTCAGAAATTAGCGTTACAATTAGAAAAACAATGATCATACTGTCCTTGCAGCGTTTGAAGTGTTACAATTTTTACAGAAACTCTAATTTGTTTTAAAGCTCACCTGAACACCAAAGACCAGTGTCACCTTCACCCAGCCTGAGAAGTGACATGTCAAACGAGGAACCTCCTAACTTCAGCAATCACAGGTAAAATACTTTACCAATAAAACATGCTTTATTTGATGCAGGAATAAAATCAGAATTTGTTTCTGTTGTAGTAATATTAGTATTACCTTGATTATATATGAACAAGTAGGATTTGTACTGGTGTACGGTTATTTTGACTCCGTGCTTACTCAGTATTCGGCTGCAGTCATGTTTCATAAGATATGGATGATGACTTTTCTATTATCATGATTTACACATCCACAGAATAATTTACAAATGCCCAATACTATACAAATATTTATACAAGATCTAAAGTAATATCTAGAGTCTTGTTTCTGTAATAATTCAAAATGTCAAGATAGAAAATATCACAAAACATCAATTACATAAAGAATATAAAACAAATAACTTTGTTTCTTTGTCAGTATCTAATGAACCATTCATTTTTTTTTTTTAACTGTGTATCATTTATTTGCTCATCAGGAGATCATACATATATTGATGTTACATACATTGTACAAAGCTTACATGACTTCTCCAATTTTTTGTTTTCTTTTTTACACAGTTTTTTTTCCTTCTCCCCCCCTTCCCTCTTCCTTCCCTCCTTCTCCTCCCCCTTTTTTCCCTCTTTTTTCCCTCTTCCCTTCCCTTTCCCCGTAGCGAACTTAAATCCATGTATAAACATAACAAAAACAGGACCAAATAAGTATAATTACATTAAAAAAAAAAAAAAAAAAAAAAAAGGGGATACATTAACAACCAAAAAATGAAAATAATAATGATGGGATGAAGCGGGGGTTGGACGGCATTGAGAAGCTAAAAGGCAACAACTCTTCACTCAATTAATGTGTAAATTTAAGTCACATGACATGAAGGGTCAATCATATCTATCTATACATTATAAAGGCAGAGATTTTATGTATGTCATAAGAGGTGCCCACTTGTGAGTAAATTTTGCTGAATTACCTTTTACTGTTAATAGAATCTTTTCCATCTTTAAGCATGATCTAACAGTATTAAGCCACTGAGAAGTAGATGGAGGTATAGGAGACTTCCAGCAGAGTAAAATGCATCGCCTGGCAAGGAGAGAACAAAAAGCCAAGACCTCCCCCTGCAGGGGCGACAGATTAATTGAGGTCCCTGGAACTCCAAAAATGGCAATTAGTGGGTCGCTTCGGATCTGGATTCCAAAAACCCCTGAGAGTATGGAAAAGACATAGACCCAAAATTTTTGTAAACTTGGGCAAAAGAAAAACATATGACTTAAGTTGCAGGGAGAGGTCCGGCACCGGTCACACTGGTCCAAAATCGAAGGAAAAATTTTAGAAAGACGGGATTTTGAAAAGTGAACTCTGTTTATCACTTTAAACTGTACAAGCTGTAACCTGGCACATGGTGTGCTTTGGCGTATACTGAGAATAACTTTATCCCACCATGAATCGGACAGTTCAACACCCAATTCACGTTCCCAAAGAGTTCTGGATTTACCCGATGAGTCGGGGTCAATTCCCATAAGTTTTCCATATATATTAGAAAGGGGAGATTTCAGATTGGGTTTCAGAACTAGTAGGTCGACCCATAGTTGGTCAATACGAAGAGTTGGAAAATTTGGGAACAGCGAAGAAACACAATGTCTAATTTGGAAATAGAGAAACAGATGAGAAGTAGGTAGATTAAATTTTGAGAACAACTCCGTAAAACTAAGAAATAGACCATCTTTGTAGAGATCTCTCATTGTACAGATGCCTCTCTCATGCCAAACTCTGTAGCCAACATTAGTGGTCGCAGGAGAAAATATAGGATTTTTGAATAACGGCATTTTATTAGAGGGAGACGTAAATTTAAAATGGGACCTAAATTGTGACCAGATCCTCAGCGTAGAGAGCACTTTAGGATTTTTAGAAACAGAGGGAAGTTTAATTGGTAATGATGAATAGATAATAGAGGCAGGTGAAAAAGATGTAGATATCGATTGAATTTCAAGTTTACGCCAGAACAGATTGGGTGAATTTAGCCAATAAATCAATTTATGAATATGTGAAGACCAGTAATACATTGCAAAATTGGGTAAGGAAAGACCACCACTTGTCGTGAACTGTTGCAATAGAGAAAGTCTCAATCTGGGGGCCTTATTGTTCCATAAAAATGAAGAAACCATCTGATCCAGGGACTTGAAGAACTGTTTAGGCAAGAATAAAGGGATACATTGAAATAAAAAAAGGAATCTAGGTAGAACATTAATTTTAATAACATTAATTCTGCCAATTAGTGAAAGAGGGAGAGAGTTCCATCTCCGAAAATCTGATGCGATTTGAGAGACTAGGGGGGCAAAATTCTGAGAAAACATTGAGGGCAGAGTACGAGTAATATTAATTCCCAAGTACCTAAACCCTGAAGGGCTGAGTCTAAAAGGAATGTCAGATTGCCCAAGTTCCAAAGCCAATGAATTTACTGGGTAGCATTCACTTTTAAGCAAATTTATTTTGTAGCCAGAGAAAGATCCAAACTTTTCAAGAAAATCCAAAATTGGAGGAAGACTGTGTAAGGGATCCGAAACATATAAGAGAAGGTCGTCTGCATATAAGCAGAGCTTAAGTTCAACACCAGAGCGAATAATTTAATGAAAAGAAGAGAGGGATCTTAGCGCAGCAGAAAGAGGTTCAATGGCTAACGCAAACAAAAGAGGAGAAAGAGGACAACCCTATCTAGTACCACGTCCCAACGGAAAATAATCAGATTGGACGGAGTTAGTGACAATACAAGCTTGAGGAGATGAATATAGTAGTTTGATCCAGGCCAAAAACCTCCCACCAAAACCAAACCTATCAAGAACGGCAAACAGGTACTCCCATTCCACTCGATCAAAGGCTTTCTCGGCGTCGAGAGAAATGATCACCTCCGGAGACGTGGGGGAATGAACTGAAAAAATTGCATTTAATACTGTACGAATATTAAAGAACAAATGACGACCTTTGATGAATCCATTCTGTTCATGTGAAATAATCTGAGGAAGCACCTTCTCATGCCAAGTGGCAAGTATTTTAGCTAAAATCTTAAAATCCACATTTAAGAGCGACAGCGGCCTATAAGATTCACAAGCAGCGGGATCTTTATCCTTCTTCAACAGGAGAGAGATTGAAGCCTGAGCCAAGGTGGGGGGCAACAGGCCACGCCCTAATGACTCATTATAGACCTTGAGAAGAAGAGGGGCCATCTTATCTTTGAATTTCTTATAAAATTCGGCAGGAAATCCGTCCGAGCCGGGGGCCTTACCACTCTGCATATTATTGATTGATGTAAAAATTTCTTCCAATGTAATGGCCGCATCAAGTTGATCAGAAACCAATTTATTTATCCTAGGGATGTCAATATTCTGAAGAAAGGCAAATAACTCATCCGAACCGGATTGTAGTTCAGATTTATACAGATTACAATAAAAATTTTTAAAAATATCACTGATAGAAACAGGATCGGAAACGAGATTGCCTAATTGATCTTTGATTTGTGATATTGTGCGAGAGCTAGCTTTTCGTTTCAGTTGATGAGCCAGGAGCCTACTTGGTTTTTCTCCATGCTCATAAAAAGAGGCTCGAGATCGAATCAAGAGACGCTCCGCATCAGAAGTTGTTAGGAGATCAAGTTCAGTTTGAAGATCCAGTCGTTGCTTCAGTAAAGCGAGTGACGGATTAGTGGCATTTTGCTTGTCGATTTTCTGAATTTTTGATGATATTTCTGATATCTTAGCATGTCTATTTTAAGTAACATTAGCTGAAAAAGAGATAATCTGACCCCGAAGATAGGCTTTTAATGTTTCCCATAATAATGAGAAAGAAACTGTGTCGCTCTTGTTAAACGTAAGGAAATCATCAATTGTTGATAGGATAAATTTATTGAAAGTTTCATCTGATAACAAGAGACTATTAAATCTCCAACAAGGGCAAGAACAGGGTTTATTCATGAAGCTTATATCAAGGCTTAAAGGGGAATGATCAGAGATAATAATCGGATGGTATTCAAAAGATGTGACTGTGCATTAAAGAGCCATCAATAAAAAAATTATCTATACGGGAATAGGACTGGTGTACCTGAGAGAAAAAAGAATACGTCTTTGTTAATAGGTTACGTGCCCTCCATGGATCTACATATCCATTTTGAGTCATAAAATCCGAAATAGATTTAGACATATTTGACTGCGTAAAGGGTCGAGATGAAGAGCGATCTAATACTGGGTTCATTACACAGTTTAAGTCCCCAGCTAGAATCAACAAGTGAGAGTCAAGAAAAGGAAATGTGCTAAATAGATTATTTATAAAATCAGGATTATCAAAGTTTGGTGCATAAATGTTCACTAATAAGACAGGGGTATGGAACAGAGTACCTACAATTATAAGAAATCTGCCGTTCGTGTCTTGCACTACTTTTGATGCTGTGAAATGAACCCTCTTACTGAAAAATATGGCTACTCCTCTAGCTTTAGAGTTGAAGCCCGAGTGGTAAATCTCCCCAACCCATGAATATTTGAGCTTGGACCAATGTCCATTCTGCAGATGTGTTTCCTGTAAAAATACTATATCAGGGTCTAGGCGCTTCAGATGAGAGTTTATTTTAGATCTCTTCACTGGACTATTAAGACCTTTGCAGGGGCGGATCTAGAAAAATATTTATGGGGTGGCAAGAGGGGGGCAGGAATTTTTTAGGGGTGGCAACATATGGCATTTGTTTACACTGAATTTAATCACAGTTTGGTGAAAATAGTATGTACAGTACTAGTGTTTCATGTGAAACAGTTCATATTAATAATACATCGTACAATATGATGTCACTTAATAGGAGATAGAAGAATGATAACACTACTTCTAGAGGGGCCTTATGACAGGAAAGATATTAAGGTAAGACACAGGTGCTGAGTCGCAGATGTGTGAGATTGACTGTCAGAGAGGCAGCTTTGCAGCATTTGCACAAGAAGAAACGATAGAAAGAAAAAGTTCCCCATCAGAGATCTATGGACTGAGCTGTACTAAAGTGAGCATTACTACACA